TAAAAGTTTTGAATTGACGAGCAAATGTTACACAGCGTAAAACCTCTTCTCGCGAATAAATTTGCATTTTTATACATGCGACAGCTGTTCATAAACAAAATATGAATTGGAATTTCTATACAAATTATTGAGAATATAATATGCTTATTCTCGTATCTGGCCAATCGAATGCCACGCCTTTAAAAACCGATTGACCATTCCTTAGTTATTACATCTTATCATACCATGGCTGAAAGATAGTTTTCATTTACTTATTCAATTCCTTTAGTAGATGCGGCATATGAAAACTTACATTAGTAACAGTTAAAATGGCATTCATACGCGCGAATACTTTCGCCCAGCAAACCAGCTAGCCATTTTTCAATTCAATGATGCGCTTTTTAGTTATATGATTTTACGACAAATATCTTTCACTTGTTGGGAGAATTAAGTACATTCCTAAGACTTTAATAAAGCCTCTTCATTCAATTTTTGAAAAAATTTTAAATATAAAAAAAAAAACTTTTTTACTTGACGATCTTATTTTATCCGCGGTCAAAATTGAAAAGACCGATTGCATGAAAGAGAGAAAGAAATGCACGTCTGCAAAATTTCTGTTAATTTGCAGAAACCGTTATCAGCTTTCATTGCATACGGGAAAACACATAGTTATTAAAAAAAAAAAATAGCAGAATTGAAAAGCATTGCCATCCTAAATACTTCTTTTGACAGTGGCACGGAGATGAAACAAAATGTGAAAATGAAAAAATTTGTACTTATTTTAATTTTTTTTTTTTTTTAGAATTCTAATTTCTCAGGAGTACCGACGTCTGTTCAGGAACTTATGGATAAATGTTATATACGCTGGCGAAATATCAATGAATTTATAGATAAATCAAAATCGGTCGTAGAGTTTTACCGCGCCTATTGCGACCTAGAGCTTGAACACAAATTTATTTCCATAGCATCTTCTGTGTTAGAATGTATTTCGTACAATCACTTTTTTTATTAAAATAAAAAAAGCTTGCTAATGGCATATCTGTTTTAATTCGTTCTCTTTAGCAAAACTCAATTTTTACTCTTTCTCTCTTTTTCTCTTTGTTGTTACAGGTAATCATATATTTGCGGTAAATAAACACAAATGCACTGCAAAAGCTTCATACTATCGAAGCTTTAGATATTCACCATATATTTGACGCTCATGCTTTACTGTTCGTTAATGTAAGTTGTGATTTGAAAAATCTGCGTGTATTGGAATGGCATAAAATTCCTTAGTCCGAGATCAACTAAACAACTTGACGAGTGTTATGAAATAAAACGCGGACGAATAAGCATGCAAATAAGCATCACATACACAAATAAACATTAAAAACAAAATAAAACATCAATAAGGCTGTAAAGGAAATGTTAAGGAAACGAAAAATATTTGAAAGCAATTAATACACAGAAGCGTAAAAAAAGGGATTTATTTGTTGACTATTTTTTTTGTTTTTTTTTTTGTTTTTTTATATTAAGTTGATTAACAATTTTCGTCTAAAATTTCTACAAAAATTCAGATTTTGTAAATTTTCTGTATACGTGCTGTAAGCATTTGTACAAGAAACAAAAGTGTGGTGAATAATAAAGGGCAGAGCCTTGAAGTGAAAAAAATCAAATAAGAATATTTTTTAAAATAACAAAAATAACAAAAATAATACAAATAAGTAAATGTGAAAATAATTAAGAAAAGAATTTTTTTTAAATTTTCCGGTACTTTTTTTTTTACGCAAATTTTCATACTTAAGTGCACTTGATTTGATTTGATTGATTTCGTATTGACATGAATTAACTGTCGTAACTGTAAAAATCGCGGAAAAAGTGAAAAATAAAATATAAGACAAAGCATAAAGAAAATTATTGTGACTTGGAAGTTAAGCGCCACTTTGCAGCCATCTTTAACGCCATTTTGTTAAGACTTTTTACGTTACGTTCCCTCCACTTTATCTTGCTTCCATTTTTGTTTAGCATATCTAAACATATGTATGTATACATATATATAAAAATTTTTTTAATATTGTCCGTCTTTTTCATCGTAACACGCAAAAGTTTCGTTAATTAAATTTGTACAACTTTAACGTAATGACTATTACTTACTATCATTAAAATATCGCTTTAAGAATTACAATATATTTATCGATATTCCTTTGCACATATACATATCCCCATACATGCATAATCACATATCTTAGTAGTAGTAAGCGAGCGCGTATATGCAATTGCTTGTAAAGAAATACCAGCATTTACAAAATGTTTTCTGCGATATCATCAATTGTAACAAATCTGCAAGTTTTCGAACAGCATGGATACGAACAACGAAATATTTTAAAAACACTACGTCAAGTTAAGGAAAGAAGAACACCATCAGCAACGAGTTGTACTACAATCATAAACGTTTTCGATGCTTTGAAATCCTTGCATCTATTCAAGGTCTTGAATAGTGGACATACAGCATGTCGTTTAATACGACTACTGTTCGCTGCACTGATTTTAAGTTGTTGTTGCCTACAAAATGGTAAGTTTATATGAAACAACAAATTTTATACGATAACCTTCAAATTGGGAAAGAATTGAACGAATGTAGTAGATATTTATTTATTATAATTGGCGAAGAGAATAAAGTGAGAAAATTATATTTGCCTTTAGGCAAATTTCGGCGGCCTATCATTTTAGCATCAAAATGTTTGTTAATTAAGCTTAATTTTCTCGTATCTTTTTTTGTTCTTCTTCAAAGGACAAATGATTTACATAAATGAGGGAAGAGTGAAATAAGAATATGTGGAGATGGTTAGGCTTTTTAGGTTAACGTTGTGATGCAAAACATATATCTCCGGCCTACGTGAGCAGAAAAATCGTTTTAATTATATCTGTCTGTCCGACCATGTTAAAAGATCAGAATTGAGAATAAGAGATGTTTCCTGTGACGTTTAAAGATCAACAGAAGCTGAGCATAGATCGATAATTTATCAAATTTTGTTAACCCACTCTTGAGGGTTGCTAGCTTAATATTATTTTTATTATATTATTATGAGTAATTTCCAACTACGCTCTAAGCGGTTTCAGTATGATTTGTTAGACAAAGAATTTTCATTAGCAACACCGCGCACGTTCGCCATGAAAGAAGGATCAATAGCATCGGATACTAAACGTCTAACCTGAACTGAAAATGGAATCGCTGATAAGCCTTGAAAACGCATAATGTTCCATCCCAAAGTAATTGACAAAACATTTTCGCGACCTATTCACTTTTAAGTCCGTACAGACACCACCCGGGAAGATATGGGAACAAAGTTGATACGCATTTTATTTTTAAAATTTGTACTGAGGCACTTACGCTTGCATAGAATGTTACTGTTACTCTCATTTACTTTTAGTGATCCTTACAATGTGCATCACCGAACGATGAGAGAGCGTTTATCTAGAACAACAAAAAACCCAAACTCTTATGATTGAAAATTCAAATTCAAGAAATTGAGACTTGACTCGCATACTTATGCGAATAAAAAGTTCAAACTTTTTCTTGCTTTTCTTGCTCTATATTCTATAGTAGGCCTGCCCAGTGATTTGACTCATTCTCAATGCGACCCTGCATGTAGGAACGTCCAACGTTTTTGCCAAATTTGAAGCCAATGTAGCGTATATAGACGGACAGACGGATATGCTCAAATAGATTAAGAATTTGATGCTGATCACGAATATATGTACTTTCTCTGAAACTTTCTTTTTGGGCGTTGCAAACATTTTGACAAAATGAACATACCCCTCATCTTTCGGTGATGAGTATAACAAGCAAAAACATTACATTAGCCCACGATCCGTTATTAAATACCCTGCATCATCTCGTTTAATGCTTTGGCTCATATTCTCAATGTAAAGCGTTATATGGAATGGAGCCGAAAAAACGGTCTGATCCGAACCATTTTCAACAGCTTCCGTCTTTGGAATGAAGCAAGCCTATGCAGGCAAATGTCGTCAAAATATCTCGAAAATTGCCTCCTATACACGAGAACACACACGATCGGTAGAAGGACAAACGGACAAACAGATAGGCAATGGGACTCTATGTGGAGTATTTCCGTCCGAGCAAGCTGAACATACCCTTGCGCCACAAATGGCGTGGACCACGAAAAATGGTGTAATAGATGAAACGCGCGTACAAAACGATAGTCTAAAAGTTAGATTATTCTACTTCTAATGTTTTTTTTAAGTGTGCACTTTTCGAGCATGTTATGTTTAAATTCGTAAGTTACAGCAGAGTAGTACTTGGAGAACTCGATATTCTGACTCGAAAACAAAATATCCATATTCAAAACATGGTAAATACCACAAACCGGCAGCTTTACAGCCCAGTCAAGGCGGATACTGAAAAGCTCTACATTGTCTCTAAACGGTTTTTACACCCATCACCGAAGGATGAACTTTAAATGTTCTGCGAGTAAATAATGCTGTCTCCATCTTCCAGTCTCCCTATCTGTCTATTTTTTTCGACCTCTGTATAAACAAGTAACGTGGTTTCACTTTTCTTCTACTGGCATAAGAGTTCGCACAATAACTATTCAATAATTTTTGTCGTGTTCAACTCTTGGGGAAACCCAGTTGTGAGACAGAACCTCTTAATTTTAACGCCGCCGGTCTGAATGTGCGCACAAATGTTCAGAAACATGTTCAAGCATATCTAGCGTACAATGTAAAACGGGTTTACGAAATAAAATTGAATTAGTGTTACACCTTGCGCTTGAGAAATATTTTCACATCTTCTGCAACGAACGCTTTGCATTCTACATTACTTTTCACCTGTAAATATAGGCATGCATGTCAAAGAACCGGTGTAAGTCTTGCTTCGTAAAAAAAAATTTTTTTTTTTTTGTTTCTTCATATTATTTTTATTCACTTTCTCCTAGCTTACAAGAATTTACAACAACCACGCATTCACATACATTTATGAGAAATTTTAATGCTTTGAAAAATCATTGACATAAATTAAACGCCACAAAAATCATAAATGTGTATACGTTTATGTAATTGTTTTCTCCATACATACATGTAGGTATATACGCATGTGTAAGTGCATCCGTCAGTGCAAAATTCAAGAGATTACTCATCCTACTCGCATTTGACCATCGTAGTAAGAGTGATGATAAAAACAACATACAGGCGCCCTTCGTATAACACGGCACTTGTCAAACACAGTTTCGCTGCAAGACGGTAAAAAATTTGTGAACATTACTGTTTGATAAAACACGCTTTTGATTTTTGCCTTTATTTTTATTTTATCGTTAGAACAAGCTTCAACCAAAAATAAGACAAGTGAGAAAGTCATATTCTGCGGCGGCCGAATCTCGCATACCCACCACTACGCTTTTCGCATTCTACTCTCCAAGTTATTTTATTTGATACCCTTGTCGCTGGTATTATTAAGAAATAATTAATCGCGGTGTCTACACGCATTCATTTTAGGACTAACCCGTTTTTAGGTAGATAATATAATATAATCTTCACATGGGGAATGTACAAAGTGGTCTTGTTTGTCTTGTTCGCCTTACGATAAATAAGCAGAAAACCTCAAAAAAGTGAAAAAAAAAACAAAATTTAATCTCTTGTAATTTTGATGTGGGCATGGTCGATTGCTTTGATTTTTGGAGGTATAGTAAACGAGGAAAATTTCAGTCGTCTAACCTTATTAATTTCCTAGTAACGGGTAAAAATCCAAAAATTTTTGTTAAAAAAAACGAAGGGGCGTTCAGTTTATGTTCCGCTGCGCGCTTCTCCTCTCACCAATTTTGCCCATTTTCAACACCACTAACCTGCGTGCAGAAATTTTTAATGTTTCTAGCAAATTTGAAGTCGAGATCTTCGTTCTTGCGATCAGGAGAGTGCCGAGGACACACAACATACAGACGAACAGACATAAATGTTCTCAAGGTCAAGTATTCAAGTACTTTATAGGATCGCTAAAGCTTCCTTTTGGGTGTTCCACATATTATGGAAAAGTATGCCTCCATCTTACAGTGGCGGCTATGAAAACATTATAAATTTTGGTGGAAATTAATTTTGTGATCGTCATCGTTATTTTTGGAATGTATTTCTAATTTTTATATAATTCATCATAATATTGAGTTTCATATTTTGTTTTTTTTATAAAAACTAGAAGTTAACCTAATTTTTTGTATACCTATACCACACTCGGATGTGTACAACACCCAGAAGGACTTGAGATAGACGCACCTTTTCTTATATCGAGTGATTCAGAATCACTTTCTTAATCAAGCTAAGCTTGTCTGTCCGTCTTGTGTTTTTTGCACAACTTTTAGGTCGTAATTTGTGAAATATTTCGATGAAATTTGGCACAAAGATGTCTTATGACCTAAGCACGAACATTATTGGAAATGGTTCAGTGAAGTGTTGTAGGGTATTTAATGGTGGGCCGTATCCCACTATAATGTTTTTATTTCTATTCTCCTTATAGTCTAAAGGGACATTTTTTTCAAATTATAATGTAAGTAAATTAACTGATACTACATTTATTTTGGAATAAATTGCTACTCATATGTCTCCAAGCAGATTCCCCATATGTTCATATCAATATCTTGTCTAATAATTGTTCATTAACATGTCGGTTAGGAGCGAAATATACGTCATGATAACATTTTACACCTTAAACAGTTAGTTTCGGTACAACACGGTATACATCACGTTGATTCAAAGTTTGATATAACACGGTTTCGATATAATATAAAATAATATTTCGACACGATACGGTAAACATTGTCTAGATTTATGTTATATATCTTTGAGTTAACTGCGTTAAGCGAGGAGGGACATCTATAGTCAAGCGTACGCTTATAGTATTACATTAAATTAGAGTCTGCTGGTATTGAAATGAAAAAAAAAGAGGATAAATTATTGATCTTATGGACGAAAAGGACAACTGGAATCAGTCAAATAGTAGTGGAATCTATCTGAGTTTAATATTTAGTTATTTTTTCTTTTTTTAATACATAATCCTCTTTATTAATATAAATAATAAATAAAATAGAATCTGCGCTCAAGTCGCATTATCATTATATAATAATTTTGGTAGTTGACATCGCACGATTTGTTTGATTGGTTTTGCGCAATAGGCTATCAAATGTGAAAATCTCTTCCTTTTACTATTGAAAAGCGTCCGTTCAAGTATGAAAGAAAGGCTTGGTTGTGTACGGAGAAGAGGTATCGATAGAATGCTTGAAGTCAAACCGGTTTTGCAAGCTTTGATTCCGTCAGTTTTGATGTTCAAGATGCAACACCTTCTAGGAGGTTAGTTGAAGGCATTTATTATGAATGCATTTACATAGTGCGTCGTGGACCCAAATGCCAAAATATGCTTTGATTGCACAATTTACACGTTTATATGTAGTGGAATATATATTATGTGTAAGAATAAGTTTTGACGGTTGTTTTTGTTTTAGTTATGCTCAAAGTTTTGTCTACTTAGTTATTGTTAGTTACGGCTTTTCCCCATCTTTCAGGCATTTT